TCAAATAGTTATAAGTAACAATTCCACACATGAAAGTGGCAATTGACAACCTTGGTTATAGCTGAAGGAGAAGTAGAGCCAACACGGGGCTCTCCCATTGGGGGGAATAGAAGTCAAGTCACAAGGAGGCAGAAGAAAAGTAAGTTGTGATCAGAAAGTAAGAATTCAGAAAGTAAGATACTGAATTTTAAGATGTTAGAAATGGGTGATGACAAAGCTTAGGCTGTGACCAAGAGAGAGAGTGGCAGCTCCTGTGAACAAAGTAAAAGCTAAGCTGTTGTCTCCATGTCCACCAATAGATGAAGAGGGACAGCACTTCAGGTGCAGAAAAGAAAATCTTCCAGACCCTAAATATTTAAGATGAGGACTTCCAATTAATTACCCCTCCTCCCTCCAGTTTCTAACTCACAGAGCATGGCTAGTAAGAAGAACAATAGATCAGCACTTCTACATGTCAGCATTGTTCCAAGCACACCGTACCCATTCCAATATTCACGAGTTTTGTGACAAGAGGCACTATTAAGCCCATTTCACAGATGAGAAAACAGAAATAGGGTAAGCAGCTTATCCATTATGGGCTACAAATGCTGGGGAGAAGCTATAGACAGGGTTAGGTGAGAGAATATTTTACGGAAAGTTAAGTTCAGCTAAAGAAGCGGACTAAGTCCAGGAGAAGGCCTGCCTATCCATGGATATTGGACACCAACAGATGCCAGGCTTCGTGTAGAGACCTGGTGAGAAAGGAGTCTAAAATAATGCACAGGGATCATAGTGAAGAGTCCTGAACACCGGTGTTTGGAGTTTGAATCTGATTTGGAAGGGGGGAAGGAAGAAGAAAATGACATAATCAGCACTTTATCTTGACATGATTCACTTTTGAATATGAACAAACTGGAGAGAGGCTGGAATGAAAGGGATTAGGTTAGGGTCCTTTTGGTCCGCATTATATGACAGATAATGAGTATATGAGCAGGGGGGTTATCCATTGAAGGTTAAAGAAGAGGTGAGTTTGATCTATGTTGCAAAAGTCAAATACAAAGTTTTGGTAACTGGGTGGATGAAAAGAGTGAGGGGGAGGGGAGAATAGAATCCAAGGTTTCAAGTTCGAGTCACTGAACTACCGGCAGAAACTCAGAAGAGGCACTTTGAGGGGTGAGAGGAACAGCGTGAGTAGCTGGACTCTGAAAATACGCAATTTGTTGTCAGTGAGCAGGCTATCGAGGTGGGAGACAACAGGAACTTGGAAACACGTTTGGAATTTAGAATCGGAGCTTGAAACGAAGATTTTGGTGTCATCTGCACAAAGGTGCTATGGGAAACCTGGGGAATGGATGAGATCTCTGGAGGCGGGAAAAGGAAGAAAATAGAGAACAGATCCTTGGAAAATACTTACATCTGGGGGCAAGGAGGAAGAGGAACCAGCAAAGGAGACAGACGGAGAGTGGTAACAGAAGAATAGGAACATCTAGAAGTTTGCATCACAGGACACATGGGGATGGAAGGTTCCAGAAAAAAAGCTGACTTAGCAAACCCTCAGAGAAACCCAGAAAAATTAAGCCATTTGGGTTGGTTGAAAGGTTCTAAGGATCAGGAGGACAGGAGATGGCCTCAGGCGGGAAGGAGGGAGTGGAGAAAAAGAGGCAAAGGCAGCAGGGCGGGGCAACCTTGGAGAGTTTGAGCATGAAGAAAAGGAAGACAGTGGCTGCAAGGGATGAGACGTGAGGGAAAGTGCTTTGCTTCCTTCTTAAGGTAAAGGGCACCAGTTAAACCTATTTTAGAGATCGATGAGCCACAGAGAGGGATGAGTGAGGATGCATAGGTACTGTCGGTAGTTAAGCAAAAATAAGTAAGCAGCAAAAGTACTGTCCACGGCAGAAATCCCAGCAGGATGAGATCCTAAAACTGTTTCAAACCTTATGATAAAGCAAACCAGAACTCATGGAGCTGCCGTCCTTAACTCCCACACAACAGTTCTCCAAGAAAATAAGGCCAGGGCCAATTAAACAGGTATTTCCTCCTCTTCTGGAGGAATGCATGAATTTAATGCACGCATCCCAGGGCAAAGGAGGAGAAGTAGCCGTCACTATAGGCAACCTTAAAAAGTAAAATAACTTCTGTCGAGTATAGGGAGAAGAAACCTTGCTAATGAATTTGGGCTATAAAATATTAGGATTTTCTTTTTATAAGAACTTTTAGCAAATTACGTGACTTGTAAATATTCTATGTGCAGGAGAAGGGAGGGTATTTTTACCCTGTGTTTTGAAAAACAAATAGTTAAACGCACTCAGGCCTGAAGGTTACTTCACTCACTCTATATGAGGTAAAAGCTTCCTGGGGAAAAAAACAAAAAAGGTGGAAAAGCAAAAATATTGATAGTGGTTAATGAGTGATGGCTGGCTTTGATTGCTGTAGGAAGTCTAGGTAGGACAATGCTGTAGAACATTCAGCAAACAATCTGTTCCATTGTCCCATCCTTTCCTATCAAGGGGATGGAGGGGTGTGGCACTGGACATAGGATGTCAGAAAGGAAAAGAGGAATTGGAGAAGGGAACAAAGAGATAGACTCAGTGTTCCTAAGGAATGTGCACACCCTCCCTCTTCCGTGGGATGGCCTGGGTACCATGTGTGTCCCTGTGTATTCAGAAATGGTCCCTGGGGCCCCATTGCTGTCACATTGCTGCACAACCCTCGGGCATGAAGAAAAGCATTGGAGGTTGTTAGCACATCTCTGTCTGGTGGTTGAAACTGGGCTCAGCACCAAGAGAACACCAGAAGGGATTTGTCTCTTCTCCGTGCTTGGATAATGGCTATTCCCTGAGACCCAGGGAAGAATTAAGTTCAACGTGTGCCTCACACTATATTACACACTCAGTCCTGAACAGCTGGGCTGCTAGTACAATTTAAAAAGAAGAGAGAACTGGCTGTTCACCATCAATGTATAATGTATTCATAATAAATCTCTCAATGAGGAGGTATAAAGATTTCCTGTTGCTGCATAAGCCAAAGGAACAGAGCATTAGGCAAGTATCCAGTGAGTCTCATTAACAGAAACAACCAATACGGAAAATCCAGGGGGACTTGCTCCACATTTCTGTTAGTAATGGCAATTTTTTTACCTGAAATATGCTAGTAATTTTCTCGCTTGTAAAATTGACTTTGCCTAAGGATTAATAAATATGCTTTTTCTTAATAGTTACTGAATAGCCTCCATGTTCTAAAGACTGTATAACAAAACATTTCTTGCCACCTTTTTTCTTTTTTGCTTTTTTGCTTTATTTCTGAGAAGATAAAATAGTAAAGCCATCCCAGATTGATTTATTTTAAAAGAAAATGGAAATAACATATATTTAAAATTTAGTCAAGGGGAGCCTGGGTGGCTCAGTCGGTTGAGCGTCCGACTTTGGCTCAGGTCATGATCTCACAGCTCGTGAGTTCGAGCCCCGTGTCGGGCTCTGTGCTGACAGCTCACAGCCTGGAGCCTGCTTCTGCTTCTGTGTCTCCCTCTCTCTCTGCCCCTAACCCTCTCACATTCTGTCTCTGTCTCTCTCAAAAATAAATAAACATTAAAAAAAAATTAGTCAAAAGAATAATTGATAATGAACCCTATGAATTAAAAAATTTTGATTCTAGGGGCACCTGGGTGGCTCAGTCAGTTAAGCATCTGACCCTTGGTTTCAGCTCAGGTCATGATCTCACGGTTTATGAGTTCGAGCCCTGAGTCAGGTCTTGCACTGACAATCCAGAGCCTGCTTGGGATTCTCTATCTCCCTCTCTCTCTGCCCCTCTCCTGCTCGCACTGCCTCTCCCAAAATAAATAAATAGACTTTAAAAAATTATAAATAAATAAATAAATAAATAAATAAATAAATAAATAAATAAATTTTGGTTCTAAAATGGGTGGTAGTGGTTAAGAACAAAGTAAGGTCAGAACAAGGACATTCTCCTCCTACACTTTGCTTACCAAGTGCAGTCACCTATGTGGGGTCCCCAGTGTCAGAGCCAGTCACAGAGCCATCTAGCTGCTGGTAGATAGAAACCAATGACAAATGAAAGATATCTGTCAGAGATAATTTTCACACACGCACGCGCGCACACCCCCCCACGATAATTTTCACTCCTGAAATTTTTTCATACCAGAGTTAGAACTGTGTCTGTCATAGTCACTTAGACTTTATAACAATAAGATCATCTCAGTGTCTAGGTGGATAACTACCCTCTTTTCTCGAAGGCAGAGGAATGGAACATACATTTGATCATTTAATAGCTGATTTGACTTTTTAAAATATGTGTCCAAAAAGAGGGCTGTGTTGAGTAACCTGTGTTGAGCTCTTAACAATCATTATCTGATTTGTCAAGAAATTATTCCTACTGACTCAGGTGTTTACAATAGTAAAATAGCATGTACCATAACATAAAAAATAGTATACATAATAGCAATTGTCTTCTTTAAAATTCTGCCTTTCCTGGAATTTAAATGCCTGTCCCAGAATTATCGAGATAGATGTAGGGTTTTCATCTTTGTGTCAATGGCTGCCTGAATAAAGCAGATAGGCCAGCATTAAGCCACCTTCTGTAGGAGACACGTCAGCAACCTCAGTTTGTCGTCTTAGGAATATTCTTCAGCAAACATCTTTGTTTTCCAAACATTAACTTATTTCCCCAGAATAGCTTTCCTGAAATGAAATTACTGGATCAAGTGGTATGAATATTTTAAAGCTCCTCTTTCTCAGCATGTTTCTAAGCAGCTCTCCAAACGGGTATTTATTAATTCACCTTCTGTGAGTAATATACGAGAATTACAGCCATATTCCACGCTTAACAAGTTGCTAATAAGACTACATGACTTTTATTTGTGCTTATAGCAAGCTTGGAAAGTTTTGCAAGTGTTCATTTACATTTTTTGTGCGTATTTGCTAATTTTGCGCTGTTTCCTTGTCAGCTGGCTTATTTTTCCCAGCTCCAGTCTCAACCGCTTTTCTCACCTCTGTTGCTTTGCACAGGCTCACATGATTCATTTAGCTACTGGGTAGATGAAAAGTCCCCAGTGGGGCCTGACCAAACCCCAGCCATCAAACGCCTCGCCAGGATCTCCTTGGTGAAGAAGCTAATGAAGAAATGGTCCGTGACTCAGAACCTGACGTTCCGAGAACAGCTGGAAGCTGGGATCCGCTACTTTGACCTACGTGTGTCTTCTAAACCCGGGGATGCCGACCAGGAGATCTACTTCATTCACGGACTTTTTGGCATCAAGGTCTCGGATGGGCTGATGGAGATTGACTCATTTCTTACACAGCACCCCCAAGAGATTGTCTTCCTGGATTTCAACCACTTCTACGCCATGGATGAGGCCCACCACAAACGCCTAGTTCTCCGGATCCAGGAGGCCTTTGGAAACAAGCTGTGCTCAGCCTGCAGCGTGGAGAGCATGACGCTGCAGGCCCTGTGGGAGAAGAAGTGCCAGGTAAGCGGAAACAGACATGCTTGCAAGGGCACGAACGTAAGTCTGTCTGCTTTTTATTTTATTTTTCACCTATTTTGAGAGAGAGAATGTCCAAGCAGGGGAGGGGCAGAGAGAGAGGGAGAGAGAATCCCAAGCACTGCCAGCATGGAAGCGACTTGAGGGCTCGAATTCACAAACTGCAAGATCATGACCTGAGCCGAAATCAAGGGTTGGACGCTTAACCGACTGAGCCACCCAGGAGCCCCCCCCTTCTCCCTTTTCTATATCACCAGCTGGAGGGCAGCTCACCCCAGAGCTCTTAGGCTGGACGGCAGAGATGATTTGGAGTGTTCAATGTACACACACCAGTTCCTGGGCACTTGTGAACTGGGATTGACACCTGCCAAGTATTTACAATTTGCTTGGCAGACTGTTCGAAGCATCTAGGTTGCCTTTGAATGGCCTGGCCAGAGCCAGCGCACAACAGTGTGGTGAAATTGGACCAGTTGGTGATTACCACTTTCTTTATCTCCCATAGAATCCCATTTTCAGGCTCCTACTTCCCCTCAGGGATAGGCCAGTCCATTCTGCCTCTACCTCAATGTCAGAAAATCCCTGCATTAGCTGACAAAGCATGTAAGTGATTCGACTCAGAGGCTTAACATTTTAAAAGGCTCCCTTCACAGATTTGGGGTCATGGCTGGAGAGAGTTAAGGAAGGAAGAGCCCAACAAAGGGATCCAGGCTGGAGAGAATTCCCAGGTCCCTTAAGCTTAGTAGAGCCTCCACACTAGGCCTTGAGGAGCGTCCAGAAAAGGAATGTGGGCCTCAAGATATATGCTGCTCTGATCCCACAGGATGATAGATAATGGGAGAGGGGAGCTTCAGGAAAGGTCAGCCTCCCATGTGGACTATCTTTAAAAAAAGAAAAAAAGCAAGTCCCTTTCATTCACAGCTGCTCACTTACTCATACACACACATCAACCAAAGCATCTTAAAGAGGCAGTTATTTTTGAACTTGGGGAAGAGCTTTTAATTAAAAATCAACTAAAGCTTTTTCACTCGCAAATATTTATTGAACACCAAGTATGTGCCAAGCACCAGTCTAAGCACCTGAGATAAATTAATAAATAAAACAAAGATCCTTGCCTTCATGGGGCTTTCATTCAGGTGCAAGGAAATAGATCATAGGTCATCATCATAACAAAACCATTACAGAAAATGCTAGAAAGGGACGCAAGCAATGAAAACAGAAAGGCAAGTGTGATTAGGAGGAACCAGCGTTCTGTGGGTTGGAGGGTCGATCTCAATTGTAAATAGGTTGATCAGAGTAGACATTCGAGGGAGTTAATCGTGTGGACACTGGGGGAAGAACTTTGCCAGCAGAGGAACCAGCCAGTGCCTGACGTCTTTGAGGAGAAGCAGGGGCATGGGGCTGAAGAGCAGAGCAGCGAAGATCAGAGCCCGTGGGTGATTGGTTAGGTACTCTGGCTCTCGCTCTGAGGGAGGAAGGTTGTGAGAGGGTTCTGAGCACAGGGTGCTGTGTCCTGAATTACACGTTAATGGAGTCTCTGCGTCTGTTAGGAAGAAGCCAGGGGTAGGAGGGGAACCGGTGAGAAGAGCATTGGTAGCAAGTGGTCAGATTTGGAATCTACCAGAAGGTGGAGCCAACAAGGTTTGCTAGTGGACGGGATTCAGGGTGCAAAAGAAACAGGCTTCAAGGATGCCTCCCAGGTTTGGCCTCAGTAACTGGAGATGCCAGGTGGTTTTGCACACCTATAAAAGGGCTAAATAAACGTCTTTGACTCCACAGAGGCTAATGACTTAACTCTTAGTATCTCTTAAAATTTCTCTAAACCACTTTTCCTCGCTGAAACTTTGTGATAGTTTGCCAAATATTTATCACACCTCTGCCCCTGAACCTACTGATATTTTTTCAGACTCAAAGGCCTAATTTGGAGAGATTTTTCTCTCAGTGGAGTCTCTCTTACGATATGAAATAATAGTAATAACAATGTCGCCTTAACAGCTAACATTTATTGAGCCTCTCTGCTCCGTGTTTGGTACATGGATTGGCACATTTAATCCTCTCTACAGCACTATGAGGTAGGTGTTTGTTATTATCCTCATCTTATGGATGAGACTTACAGAGAGACTAAGCCTCTTGCCGGAGAGAACATTGCTAGTGAGTGGCAAGAACCAGGATTGGGTCACAGCCTGCCTGGCTCCCCAGAGCTCCCGCAGCTTCTGATGCCGTCCCAGCGCCATTCCCTCACCTTCGTGGTTTTCACAACAAATATCGTGGGTTACTTACGCTCATAAAAACATGTTCTCCTTATCCATGAGCCCCTATTATCAGAGAGTCACAGAGAGTTCGCAGAATGGAAGAAAGGGCTAGAGACCTGTAGGAGGGCCTTTGAATTTGGGATTCAGGTAAGAACAAATCTGAGTAAAGCTAAGTTTGATAATCAGATATCTGCCATAAATATAGATTTAATACTTTGTGCCCAGGGAGTATCCTGGATGGAATGCCTTCCTGCATACGAAATCGTTTGGAAGTCTGCAAGAGTAACAGGTTATCTTCAGGAATACTGACTAGGGCGGACAGTGAATTTCTAGCAGCAGGGGGACGAGCTATCCTCATTTGCAAGTATGGGCTAATCTGTGTCTTCCAACTACCACACACCTCAAACTACGAAGGGAAGAGATTACGATGACATTATCAGAAAAAGGGAGCCTGTCATCCATTTGAATTGGAGGATCTCCCTGTTCTTCGCTTCCCGAAGTTTTCCTTGCCGTGTCTCTTCTTAACACCTAAACAGAGACCTCACAGTCATCAGTCACCTACCCTGTGCTGGTGGTTAAACTTTAAATATTCATTATGTAATGAGCTGCCTGGCATGTAACCCCCTGAGTATTTTATCACTACAATTTAATAGCACGAAGCGTACTACCGTTCAGTCAAATTTCATTTACCCGACAGTTACGTCCCAGCTCACTGATACATGTGCGTAGCGGCTATGGGTTTTGAGGTACAGTGAATTAGAAGATTTATTCTACAATGTGGCAGTATCTCGAATTTTAATGAGAAGGTGGGAGCACATAACACTCCTAAAATACAAAACGACCGATATACAATTGCAGGATAAAACTGCTCTACCTGCACTCTATGAAGAGAGGGGTTTGTAATCAATCAATTGAAAAATAGTACATAGCATAAATCTACAGCCCAGGGGCCGCCAGTAAAGGACCCATCAAAATAAGAGGAGGTCAATCAAGGAATAATTGTCAAAAGAAATTCGATTTCAAATCTGAGCCTCAAGAGAAACCCTGAACATAAATTGCTGAGCTGGAAGGGAGAGAAAAATATAGCAGGGCAATGGAGGGAGGCAGATGCGAAACACAGGCCCTGGGGCAAGAGTTACTGCCCTAGAATTCCATAGAATAAGGTTGGTTTGCTAGGTCAGCCTCCTGCTGTCAGCAGAAATTCTCCCTCTAACTCTTAGGGTCAGATTGCTCAAGTCTCTTGAGGAAAGGCATAAAGCCCCTTTTGTACAATTTGTACTCCTTACACCTTTTCCAAGGCAGACCAAAGAATAGCACGGTCCTCTTATCCCCTGACACTGCTCAGGGTCCAGGCAGCTCTGAAAATGGCCTGCCGGAGAAGGGTCGCACAGCCTCCCGCCTCTCCCACAGTCCATTTCCAAGGCCAGCTTTCTCCCCTTCCCCAGGCTGGAGACCCCAGCCTTCCAGCCAGCCAATTACACCGCCAGCGGGAAATCCTCCCAATCTCCCAGGCAATCTGCTTTCTATGAGCCTGTGATTAACCTCATTAACACACGTGTTTACCACAGGCATCATTAGCAGTCAGTCAGACATTACTCAACACCATTAAAAACAACAAGAACAACTATTTGCCTGTTGGGTGCATCCAGCCTGGTGCGCCCTTGCTCTAGGCCCCCAGGAGCAGTTGGTCAGGCACCTTAGTCACCAGCTAAACACACTGCAAAGGAGACACACATTCATAGCCTTCCTTCTTGGGTGCCTGGGGGATTATGCTCTCGGGCTAGCTCTCTAAGGATTGCGGTCCAGGGAGTATAAACACGCTGGACATTCCTCCAGGAAGAGATTACTGGTGCCTGGGAGCAGGGGGAATCTATTACTTCTAGAAACCTAGGCAGCAGAGCTCTGAATTGGGACAATCAAAATAGCAATTCCCTGTCCCTCAGCTGCCTCTCAGAAACTAATTAATGCTGTGGCTGTGGCTTGCTAATTATTTTCAAAATCACTACCAGTCCCCAGAGGCCCCGCTGGAGACCCATCGCCTCCTGGAAGTCATCCCTGCCTGGAGTAGTGCCCTCCCACGCCCTCGTGGGAAGGGTTATTTCATTCAGTCAGCTCGCACTGTTGAAACTCTAGGTACTCCCAGATTAGTTCAAGGTGTTGGTCACAACCCCAGGAGTGTCAGTTTCACGAGCGTAGGAGCCATAACTTGCAGACCGCGCCAGCCACAGGGCTCTCCATCAGGGGCTCAGAGCCCCAAGGGAAGGGGCATGGGTAGAATTTAAGTAGGCTGTGAATTTGCATGGGAAAAATCTACATATTTGTTCCCTGTCACCTTTAGCTGAAAATTAGTATACTCATCGACAATGAGTGCAGGCAGTCAGCCACAGCACTATCGGCCGTACGGGTGACTTTGTCCCCACAGAAATCACAGCTATTTCCCTATTACGTTTCAGTTATTTGAAATATCACTTAAATTCATCATAACTCAAAATGATGGAACTTGGTACACTTACAACAAAATACTTTTATTTAATGTATGTATTGTGAAGCACATACATTAATTTATTATAAACTTAATAATATGTTAATAGCTATATTTCAGTCTTAATAATTTCTTTTGTAATCCTATTTTATTTTAGACATTCATTTAAAACATAATCTGAGAAGGGGTTTGGGATTTTACCATACTTCTAGAAGTGTTTGTGACAAAAAGCTAAGAATCTTCAAGTCATATACAAGTACTTAAACCTTTGCTTATTGATTTTTCTAAATATATGTATAATATATATAATATATAATAAATTATAATTAATATAAATATATATTAAATATAATGATTTAATTTCTGTATGCTTGTATTCGTTTGTCTTTAATCCTAGCAATCAGGACAAAGCAGGGAGTTAACACTCAGCTTGTTCATAAATTGCTCTCCTTTTTCTGTTTTGAATGTTTCAGGTTCTTATTTTCTATCACTGCCCCTTCTACAAGCAATACCCCTTCCTGTGGCCCGGAAAGAAGATCCCAGCGCCCTGGGCAAACACCACAAGTGTGCGCAAACTAATCCTCTTCTTGGAGACCACTCTGAGTGAGCGGGCCCCACGGGGCTCCTTCCATGTCTCTCAAGCGATTCTTACCCCCCGAGTGAAGACCATCGCCCGAGGCCTGGTTGGTGGCCTCAAGAACACTCTGGTTCATAGGTAAGAGTTTGCTTCTTCTAACTTGAACACTGACAGTACAGAGCCTGCTTGGGATTCTCTGTCTCCCTCTCTCTCTGCCCTTCCCCTGCTCATGCTCTCTGTCTTTCTCTCTCTTGAAATAAATTAACATTAAAAAAAAAAAAAATTTGGGGGGCGCCTGGGTGGCGCAGTCGGTTAAGCGTCCGACTTCAGCCAGGTCACGATCTCGCGGTCCGTGAGTTCGAGCCCCGCGTCGGGCTCTGGGCTGATGGCTTGGAGCCTGGAGCCTGTTTCCGATTCTGTGTCTCCCTCTCTCTCTGCCCCTCCCCCGTTCATGCTCTGTCTCTCTCTGTCCCAAAAATAAAAAAAATTTAAAAAAAAAAGTTGAAAAAGAAATTTTTTTGCTTCCACCCCAGAAGTAAGGTTTAAAAAAAAAAAAAAAAAAAAAAAACAACTTGATTCTCTTTTGAATCAACAGTAAAATTGTATAGTTTGAACATTTAGAATAATGACAAAACAGAAAACCTTATATTTGAAAAATCTGTGCATTTGAGGTGGTTTGCATTAACTGTGGCCAAAGGATCTCAGAATACTTTGTTGGAATATACAGTATACTGTAACTATCTCCGAACTTTGATGCTAAGGCAAAGCACTTTAAGCCAACAGCACTCTGTTCATTTCTGGCACGTGGTCACACTGTGAACTTGCCCTGCCCTTGCAGCCGGCCCAAGTACTCACTCATTTAAGAAGCGTTAAGTGGGGCGCCTGGGTGGCTCAGTCGGTTAAGCGTCCGACTTCGGCTCATGTCATGATCTCGCAGTCCGTGAGTTCGAGCCCCGCGTCGGGCTCTGTGCTGACACCTCAGAGCCTGGAGCCTGTTTCAGATTCTGTGTCTGCCTCTCTCTGACCCTCCCCCGTTCATGCTCTGTCTCTCTCTGTCTCAAAAATAAATAAACATTAAAAAAAAATTAAAAAAAAAAAAAGCATTAAGTGAGGCAGCTGTGCTAGGTGCTAGGTATGCAGAGATAGCCTGCCACGGTTTGTCCCGTCCATTGTGACCATGAATCCTAAGAAGCAACTGAGGATGCTGCCTGCACTGTCACAGCTTGAAATACTTCCTCAGAGCACAATTTATTCTCACTGTACAATTAGGTAGGAGAAGCTCCAGATACTTATATACACACACACACGCACACGTGCGTGTGTGTGTGTGCCTATGCATACGGATATGGATAAAGGGAATGTTATAAATACATTTGGATAACAGGGCAACCGTGTTATCCAAGCTGAGGAAGTGTTGGGGTGATAAAGGATATTTACAAGACTCACTTTGGTTCCTGAGTTCCAGGTGGTAAGCACAAGCACCAGCGTTTACATAGAGAAAGGTTCTTCCAAAAATGTGTCCCTGCCTGCTTGGTTCTGAGTTTGGATAGCATCATTCCAGATAACAGGAGTTTACCTGGCAGGAGTTCACATAGCAGGGAGCACCTGCACTTTTGTTTGCTGGTGAAAATTCCTATGTTGCCTTATGTTGGCCATGAACAAAACCAGAAACCTTTACTTTGTGACTCTATTAAGTTTTGACTAAATTACTTGTGCTGAACTTGGAAAAGAGAATGTCATAAACGAACGATATATCTCTGAAAGACCCAGAATTACAAACTTTCTTTTTTTATAATATATGTTTATGTATCCACACTATTTTCTGCATGCATTTGGTAAATTTATGGATTAACATTATTTATTTATTTATTTATTTATTTATTCATTCATTCATTCATTCATTAGTCCAACAAAGATTGAGTACTTGGGAGGAGGTAGGTCTAAAGATACAAGGTAGGGGCGCCTGGGTGGCGCAGTCGGTTAAGCGTCCGACTTCAGCCAGGTCACGATCTCGCGGTCCGGGAGTTCGAGCCCCGCGTCAGGCTCTGGGCTGATGGCTCAGAGCCTGGAGCCTGTTTCCGATTCTGTGTCTCCCTCTCTCTTTGCCCCTCCCCCGTTCATGCTCTGTCTCTCTCTGTCCCAAAAATAAATAAAACGTTGAAAAAAAAAATAAAAAAAAAATAAAGATACAAGGTAAACAAAAGATAAATAAATAAAATACACAAGGTCAACAAAAAATAAAATAAAGATACAAGGTTAACAATATAGTCTCTGTCCTCATGGAATTTAAGTCTATCAGGAAAAATAAACATGTACATTTCTATAAACATTGTGAAAATAACTATAATAAAGCCTGTACAAGGAGCTGTATTAATAAGGCAGAGGAAGTATTTAAAAATAAGGATACGTTATATCTGCATACTGTACTCAGAAAATGAATTACCTTCTTGCAGATGTTTTGATTTCATTCTTAAATTAAGCCAGCCTCCAGGTGGGCATATTGTCTAGAGCACATTATTGTCCCCATTTCAGATGGGACTCAGTAAAGTTAAGTGACTCGGACCCACATAGCTGGTAAGGGTCAATATTCTGAGACTCTGAGTCAATACTCAGAGTTAGGGTAAAAGCCCTAACTCTGGACTTTGGATTATTCTAATGTTGCCCTTTTCCATATTTACCACTGGCTTGAATATAGCATATTTCATTGCTCTGCTCCTTTCTGCTCCACTGGCCTGTAATTGTCTTGACTAAAAGTCAGGTACTTACTAGTACCTGAATCTGGTCGTATCTTCTTGATTACAGCTGTGAACCCACAAAGTCACAATTCACACTTGTTCGTACTTGTCAATTCCTAGAACTTTAATCTGGCTGCAGATGAAGCACAAAAGTCTTGACCTTAGTGGTAACGATGGCAGCAAATGCCCAAAGCCAAGAGATCCTAGCATGCCGAGCCCTTGCCCACTGTTAGCAAGCAGGTGTCTCGAGACTGGAAAGACACTTGGGCCTCTCCACCGTGCTGGTCTCAAGAATAGTACATGGCAGCAAGCATTGCCAGGCCTCCACATCCACAGACGGGAGAAACTCAGTCAAGAGTTTGTTCCCAAACCCCCAGCATGACATGCAGCTGTTATTTTCTCTGGGCAGTTGAAGAAGCATAGCCAAGAAGCAACTCCAACATGCCAAAAGTCTGTCCTAACTAACGTACAAGGGTGCTGTCAGACTGGTCCTGGGCACTGGTTATCAGCTGCACCAAGAGGAAAAAGATCAGGTATATTTTCCCACAAATGTAGAGGTGCCTTTTTTTCTTTTTCAGTGGGAAGTTAACCTAACTCTTGGGTGAAATTTTGGACCTGAGATCTTGTTTGCTATGGTTCATCACCCTGAAAGGAAGCCATGAAAAATACAGCCATTCTGACTGAATTTCTATGGTAGTTGCCCCTAGATTCTTAGAAACCTTGGACTCACACTGAAATCAACTAGAAAAAAGGTTATGCCGAAGCCCAAGGACAGAGCAGCCATGAGGCCATAGAAAGGGACACAGACTGAAATCAGAGGCCTGAGACTGAAACCTGACTTGGTCCCTGTTATGGGCTGAATTATGTTCCCTGGAAATTCATATGTTAGAGCCCCAGGCCCCAGTCTCTCAGAATGTGACTGTATTTGGAGGGTCTTTAAAGAAGTGATTAAGTTAAAATGAGGTCGTTAGAGTGGGCCCTTATCCAGTCGGACTGGTCTCCTTATAAGAAGAGGGAATTTGGACAGAGAGACTCCGGGGATGGGTGTGCTCAGAGAAAAGCTGATGTGAGGACACAGCAAGAAGGTGGCCATCTGCAAGCCACGGAGACAAGACTCAAACCAAACCTGTCAACATCTCAGTCTCAGACTCCAGCCTCCAGAACTGGGAGAACAAACATTTTTGTTGTGTAAGCCACCCAGTCAGGCGTTTTCTATGGCAGCCCTAGCAAACTAATGCTGTCTCTTAACAGGTGGCCTTGGACAAGTTTCCTGAGGTCTCTGATCTGTCCCTTTCTCGCCACTTAAAGAGGATTAATAATACTGCAAAAAACTGTAGAATCTTATGTGACAATGCCTACCACAGTGCCTGGCACAAAGTAGGCATGCCAACTCTACCTGTAGAGAAAGAGAAAGCCAGAAATGGAGAGGGCCAGCCTTGTTCCCAGTGGGCTTCAAAGGCAAAGGGAAGTTTCTAAGCAACTGCTCTGCTCGTGGGGCCTGGTGCTTCACAGGCCTATCAGCAGTATCTGGCTCACCCTTCTGCACTGATCCCACCTTGGTAAAGGCCAGGAGTTAAGAAAACAAAGCAGTTTTTCCTCACAATGAGTTCTACATTTTCCTGTCGTTGTACGTAATCCTGGTTATTTGATCCTTGCCTTGAGGAAAGGTTGATACGAGCAACCTGAGGCTGACACAGAGCTCTTTGTCACCGGAGACCGCACATTTCCCACATTTCTCTGCTCAGGCTCCGGGGATCCCCTGTGGTTTGGCTCCGGCTGGAGTCACCTGGAGTTGCCACCAAGCCTTTAATTCTCATTTTCCCATGATGACCAGAAGATGGCGCCAGCATTACATACCTAAACACTGACTGGCAGATTATCATTATTTTTTAAAGTAAGCTCTACACCCCACGTGGGCTTGAACTCACCACCCCGAGATCAAGGGTTTCATGCTCTACCAACTGAGCCAGCCAGCTGCCCCTGACTAGTACATTTTAAAAAGAAGTCTTGAATGGATCAGGCTCAGGACTGCAGTGGCCTTCCTGTGGGCCACTGTATGTATTCCAAGCCTCTATCGCCAAGGGAAGACTATTTGTGGCGCTTTGTTCTCGGCCTTCAAATATCTCTACCCTACACTCTACCATCTATGATTCCTTCTCTCGTGCCAAACACTTACATGGTGCTTACTATATCCCACGCGTAGTTCCAAGCACTTCACATGTATTACCTTATTTAATTCTTCAAAAATCTGTATGAAGTTAGTAGTATTATTATCCCCATTTTACAGGGGGATAGACTGAGGCGCAAAGAAATTAAATAAGTTGAGGTCAAGCTGAGGTTATTAGGTTTTCAGGAGACCCAGTTAAAAATGTAATTACTCATGTGATCGTGGTTTCTTAAATCCCAATTAGACTACTAATATAAAAATGCAAATTGACTTATGAGATGCGTTTTAGCCCCTGGCCAGTTATCAAGTCCACTGAGTGAGGGAAGCAACGCAGGACTGACCATCGTTGTCACGGTAAGAGGAAAAGAGAAAGGAAGGCAAAATGGTACCGAGGCCTCAATAAGGTTGTCAAGAAGACGGAGAGGTCAGGAAGGGCAGCTCTGAAAGAGAAAAGGAAAGGAGAAGATGACAACCAAGGACAGCGTCACCACAAGAGAAAGAAGTCCACTAAGATGAACTTATTTTCAATTTTTGCCTAGAGCAAATTCTTCCTAAAAAATCCCCAGTCCCTTAACCAAAACGTAAGCCACAGTTTTTGTCTTCCTCACGGTCTTCTCAGCTTATCAGGTATTCAGTGAGCTATTTTTCCCATGATGCAAAGCTATGAAGTTTCTGTACCGCCCATGATATTTCCATTTCCTGCTAATACAGAAGGCATCACATTAAATTGTTGTCATTTGTTTATGTCACTAAATTGTGAGATGCTTTGGACAAAACATTCTGGCTATCACATAGAAAACCCTCAAATTGTACAATGTAACTCACAGGCTGTGTTTGTGAGACCACTGAGTAAGCACTGGTCCATTAAGAAGCCACACATACTACTGGAGTAACTGTATATCCAGATGGGAAAGTGAACTCTGACCACCTCCTTCATACCATACATGAAAATTAGCTGGAGGTAGATCTTTGATCTAACAGGAAAGCTAAAACCATAAAGCTTATAGAAGAAAACAGGAAAATATTTTTGTGACTTGGGACTAGGCAAAAGTTTCCTAGATAGGTCACATAAATTATAAGAGAAAAATTGATGAGTTAGACTCCATTAAAATTAAGGAATTCAACTCACCAAAATATGCCATTGAGAAAATTAATAGGCAACATATGGGCAAGGATAAAATATCAAAAAGCATATCTGAGAAAATACTAGCATCTAGAATATATAAATAACTTCTACAGATCAACAATTAAAAGAAAAAAGGAAAAAAAAGAATACGTAGAAGAATTGAACAAGAACTTCAAAAAGCAGACATACAAATGGCCAATAAGCACATTACAAACTGCTCAGCCTTATTCTTCATCAAAAGAATGCAAACTGAAACACTGTCATATATCTTTACATACCCACTAGAAATAAAAAGATTAATCGTGCCAATGTTGGTGAGACTCTGAAGCAACCGGAAGTCTCATATTTTGTTGCTGGGAATATATAATGGAACGACCTCTTTGGGGAAAGATCTGGAAGTTTCTTATAAAACTAAATGTAAACCTCCCATATAATAAAGCAATTTCAGGTGTTGGTACTTATCCAAAAGAAATGAAAATAAATGTTCACAAAAAGACTTAGATAAGAATATTCATAACAGTTTTATCCACAGTATCTAAAAACAAGTAGCTTCCCGTTTATTCATCAATAAGAAAATGGATAAACAACCTGCTGTATTCATGCAGTGGAATACTGCAGTGATTAAAAAGGAGAACAGACTACTGGCGTATATAGCAACACAGATGAATCCAAAACCAGAATGCTTAGTCAAAGAACCTCACACAAAAAATACAGAGTGCGTGAACTTGCATGAAGTTCTAGAACAGGCAAATTTAATCAATGGTAGGACAAAAGTTATGACAACTGTTGCCTCTGGGAGGATGGGGACAGGGATCGATGAGGAAGGTACATGCAGGAACCTTCTGGCGTGCTGGCAATGTTCTTTGTGTACCTTGACACGGGGTATGTATTATGTGTTTACATTTGTCACAACTCAACTAGGTTACATGTAAGATTTGTGCATTTTATTGGATGCAAGTTTATGTCAAAAGAGAAACAAATTAAAACAAATATTGAATCCTCCTTAATGAGATGCATACTGAGGCGTTAGGGCATGTGTGTAGATGTGTGCAGTTGGAACTTGTCAAAAATGTAAGATGTTTTGATGGAAGGATAGAGTGGTGGGTCGATTGACGGTTATGTGGCAAGTGCTGTAAAATGTTAGTGCTGGAAGCTAGATGGTGGATGCACTTACTATAAATTTCTTTCAGTGTTGCAATCAATATGTTTGAAATTTTTCGTGTTAAAAATAATTAAAGAGCCTACCAAGAATTAGGTCTTGATCTTAGTCTTTCAAGGTCCCATTGACATGGCTGTCTCTTTGGTGCTTGCGGCAAATAATCTTGTCTTCCAGCGCAGAAACCTTGAAAGTACAATTCTCTGTTGGAGTTGACATCACTCTATCCCTCAAAGAGATATAAAGCTTAAACAGATGGACTTCTGGGGGCTTGTGCTTTTATTGACATACTTGTGTTACATTAATGGAAACGTCTTATTTCTGTTTCTGGAAGAGTCCTTTTAAACTCTGCTCCCTGCTCTCTCTTCTGTGCAGGAATCTTCCTGCCATCCTGGACTGGGTGAAAACCCAGAAGCCCGGAGCCATGGGTGTCAACATCATCACATCGGACTTCGTGGACCTGGTGGACTTTGCCACTACTGTCATTGAATTGAACGACCTCCTACAGGAGGATAGAGCTTTGGCTAAATGCTGATTTGATTTTTTTTTTTTTAATTAATTTAACTTAATGTTGACTTTGTTGATCCAGGCCAGAGTTCTGAAGGGTTTCCTGTTAGGATGGTCCCTGGGCAGTGATGGGGAAGTAGGAGGAGGAGGGTGTTTTCCCTTCTTCATAGGGCCATTTGGATTAAACTACAGAGATTTTAATTGCATTTTTCCCAAATGAGACTAAAACTTAAGTCCAAGGGAAGAAGCATATCTCATGTGATCAAGGTCAAGGTCTCCCCAGTGGCTCATGATGTTGGATGTAATATGGAAATGGAGTCTCCAGGTTCCATTGAGTGTCCCCTAATTGGCCCAGTTTCCTGTTTTCTTCCAGGATGTTGTATTTGAGCCTGTGAGGAGATGAATCAGAAAGGCATCCTTAGTCAAAGTAATGGCTCATTGCAGGTGTGGATGGCCCTACGGGGTGGCCCTAACATCAACCCGAGGCTTTGAGGGGAAAAAGGGCCAAGCACCATCTCTCTCTGGCATGTTGAATGTCACCACTTCTTCCCTGAGAGAGTAAGACTTCTTTATCACCAGGCTGTACCAGCCATAATCTGTTCTTCCATAGCTTATGCTTGGGAACTGGTCACCTTCATTCTTTAGATAAACAGTACGTACTGCCTTTGATACCAGAAATGTGTTTCCCGGTTTTAAAACATTGATCCCTTTCTATTTCTATTGGCCCCTTCTTAAAAGTGAAAGGAACAGTGGTGGAAGATCCTTTCAGTGTGGGGCCCAACAGGAGATAGACATGCATGTTTGCTGCACGCCCGATTTCTTTGGTTTAAATCTGTAGCTTTCCCCAAAATGGCTGCCAGGTAAACTCCTGCATCATTTTGGCAAAGTCCTTTTGGAAGAGTGGGATCTTCAAGCCAGATCTTGGAATCGCATTTCCTTGTCGTCTGCCTAGGACTCGGTCTGTGCTGTGAGACACAACGCTAATGGAAGGCGCCTTGTCTGTGACACCGGGGAGGCAGATACAGGAAGCATGGGAAAGTGCAATGGATTTAAGGAGGAAGCTCCAAGTGGGTTGGGAGCTGTTCTGTAACTCCTTGAAAACAAGACTACCTCGGGGACATTTAGGATGACTTGTGGGTCATCAAGTGAGAAATACCCAGTGTGGGAACTTTTCCAGTTTGTGTCTTGATTGTTCTCCTTTTTGCAGGTTGTTCTGAGCCTGCTAATCACCACTGCATGAGGGCTTTGAAACTCAAGGGGGGATTTTTTTTTAATTGGTAAGAGGTACTTATCTATAAAGAGTCCTCTTGTGTTTTATTTATTTATTTATTTATCCACTTATTTATTTATAGATTAAGTATCTTCAGTGCTTCTTACCTCAAGAGCACTCACAAAGGAGCTTCCCGAACTCTTTTCACCCAGGCCCGATGCCGCCCTGATCTTTCTCCCTTCAATAGGACCGTGCATTTCAGCACTGTGAGTGACCTCTGACTCAGCTACAGATATTCCCAGCTCCCGCAGTCATGCTGGGACAGTGTTCATGCGTGGGTGTGGTCCAGACTTGAGAAGCCACTGCCAGGCCACGCACTGGGTCAGAAGATACAATGGGTCATGAAGAACTCTCAATTCTTGAGGAAGACTCTCCAGTAGAAGGTTGAAAAGGAAGGAGCTGGAAAGAAAACTGGGCATGGAGTGTGTACATACTGAGGTTCCTCAGGACCGTCTGAGGATCCCTAAGGAAATGTCAGCATCTGGATTCTTAAGGAGGAAAGATAAACGTGGAATCCTGGATGGATGTGTGTATGTGTGAAGACCATTAGGCCACCCCCCCCCCTCCCCGCCCGGGAGCTTCCCATTTCTATTCTTCCATGCTCACAGCTGGATCTTACATGTCTCCTGCAATGGCGGGTATCCGGGGTGAGCTACCAAAAGCACACCCCCAAATCTTGGTCTTCCAGCCTCTACTGTCTGTAAAATAATTTAATCCCTGACCTCCAGCTTCTGCATTTTGAGGAGGGCCACAACACAAATGCCTCTGGGAAAATCTGGTCTAACTTTTCCTGTTCTTGCATTTGAGCCCCCTCTCCAAAGAGGTTCCTGGGATTGTATCATCAAATTTTGGGGGGCCTTCTCTGGAAAGGGGTAAGAAAGGAAGTGCCCTCACTTTCTCAATTTTTCTTCAATTCTAATATTAAACCCCAGTGACAAGCTCTGAAATCCTGGCCACCCCTCAGGGTTTTATTTGTGGTCTCATTGTTTCAGTTGGTCTTCTTTTTAACTCTTGGTCAATTGCTAGGGACTAGGTCATTTCCCCTCTTTTAACCCTTTGTTACTTGGCAAAGAGATCAGGAGGCAAGAGGAGAATTATTCTGCTCTGTTTTATTTGAGCCTCAGCTTTGTCCAGGTGCTTGGTGCTATGAGGCCAGGTGTGTTGGCAGGGTGTCTACAGAGGATGCCAGTGACACCCAAGGGCTGCTGACTGTTCAGTGAAATGTTTACTTGATTTTTGTTCCTTTCGTCTTAAGATACATAACTGGACTTCACTTGGGTTGTAACACTGAAGTGCACCTCAGTGTTTGCATAGTAAGAGGAAAGACATCAAGCGTGACACAGAAGCACAGAAAATGGTCCCAACGTCGTGTGCATGCAGTCCTACTCTATGTGGCAAATGCAGGTGTTCACTCCTTCATACTGTTTTGGGTTGCCAGCCTGGCTTGCATTTTGAAATTCTACACAGGAGTTCTGGGAGATAGGAGGATTATTGGCAGTTCGCCCTTGATAAACACCTTGACTTGGCAGAATCTCTGCGCCAGGAAAAAGTTGTTCGATATAATACAAAGGATATATGCATTCTGCTCTTGGACATGAGGCCAAGCAGAAGACTCAGTGACGGGACAGAGGGAGAGGAGACTTTAGTTCTATGACTCATTCTACAACTGCCAACAATAAAAATGGTTGACCCAACCGCATCATTCACTCTCACGAGATCAAACGAGCCTACCATACTTACTCAGAATTAACTTCAAGATCAACAAAAAAGCTACTTGATTGAGCCAAAGAAGGCTTTAGTTTCATAGGATTTGGGGCCATAGTTATTCTGAAATGTAGGCCATCGTCATCCTGAAATGGTAACTCCAAATGGCTTTTCATGAACTCCCTAGACCATTTGCCACATTTCCATGGCTTTGTGGCAAAGGGGACAATCACAGGTTTCAGTTACATTGGAGCAATGTTTAAAGGCTTGAACTTGGAGCCTATTAGAGATACCACTGCGGTTTCATGGGCAGAAAAGATATCCTTAGGGTTGGAGAGAGAAGTCAAGATGGAATTGATGGAAGGGAATGATAAATTATTGAGGATTAATTTTTAAATTATTGACAGACCTAAGGATGTCATGCCCCCCCCAAAAAATGATATATATGCTGTATTAGACTCTCTAGTAATTTATTTTCCTTAACACTGAGACCAGACCCCTGAATTCTTGAAAATAGTTGAGCCACAGTCCAAACCCAGGATTTTTATATAAACTCAAAAGCACAAGATCTGAGCCCAGGTCATGACCAAGGTTAAGAATCCTGGCTCTCCTTTCATGACCTCATATTCACATCACAAAGGTTATGTTTCTGTTCAAGAAGACAATGAAGTGGAGCCTTCTAGGATTAAATGCAGTTTTGTGGTATGTCAGGATTTTCTGTTTTTCTGAATCCTGCCATAAGAAAGTGCTCCCCAAAGAGACATTATTACAACCTGGCGAGAAAGCTTAGTGCTAAGCTAAAGGTGGAGAAACAGAAGAAATTACGACGGAAATGAAACGATTTCTTTTTGTGGGCGCAGTAGGGCTACACAAATTCAGGCTGTCTTACAGAATGAATTCATGGCCCAGTTGAAGTTTTTGGAATGTTCTTTATTGGCTGACTGCAGATTTTTATTGTTAGGTTCTGGGAAGTGGAACAGCCTAATGAGTGGGGCACAGCCATGAGACTTCTCTCTTGTGGCTGAGCAAGTAAGCAACCCTGTGCTAAATCCACCTTGGTTCCTTAATCTGGAATAAAGATGTTTTCGGGTACCTTAGTGATGTTCTGCAAACCTTGGTCAACTAGCTCCCCAAAATGTCAGGTCCCTTATGATTAAATTAAATGCCTTATACTCAGGGGGCGAGGTGTGCAGTTATGGTAATTCTTCCTCGTGTGGCGTGTGTGAAGAAATGCTTTTTGGGTTCATTTCTCAAAAGTGTGGTCTAGGACGACAGCTGGTGCAATACTGGCGCCGTAGTGATCCATATAGTGAGATGAATAGAGCTGAATGAAATCTGCCGACACACTTGAGTTCCCAAGAGGGGGCTTTCCCAAATCCATGCTAAACAGTCATGTTATGCCAAAAGGAAGTGCACAGAAATTGATCACGTCAAATGTCCATACGAACAGGAAGTTTGTTCTGTGTGGCATAGAACATGGTTGTCCCTCTCAATTCCACTAACTTCGCAGTAGTCCTCGGCCCTCAGCCTCAGACTGCTTCCTAGTGTTTGCCATCATGGCTTTGTCACTCAGAAATGTTGCCTTGGGACACACAGGAGTGAACTGATTAGGTGATAAGTGATTTAGCTGGAAACTTCACCCTAACTCCAAATGGTAATGAACAGCTCTTTACTCTCCCAAGAGACTTACTATCTTCTTCTGGCTTCCCCAGCTTCCTAGGAGAAATAGTGACACGAAAGGTACTATATTGCTGAACTGGCCCTTAACCTGGAAGAATACAGTGCAAAATGCTATTGGTGGTGTTGAAATAGCACAGTCTTAAATGCTCAGAAAATATTCTAAGATAACTCTTTCTATCCTGCAGTGGATACAGTGTTCTAGTCTTTTCTCCAACGATGCTTATTCTTAGTACTTTTCAAACTCCTTTCTAAGCCACATAGTTTGGATAAAATATTTTTCTTCTCTTTGCTGGGAATCCAATCCCACAATCTTGAGATAACCTCAATAGTCTAGAGGCATTTTCCTTCTCATTCCTTCTGATCTGCACAGAATA